CTGCATCTGACTACATCCCAACTCGTTTTCGGATTACCCCCCCCCCCGACGTCCCGAATATCGTGACCGTACGTCGAGCGGTTAAGATTTGTGCCCAACTGTCGACGGACGGACGGACGCACTGACGGCCGGACGATCATGCGATTCTACAAGCTGCATCTGACTACATCCCAACTCGTTTTCGGATTACCCCCCCCCCCGACGTCCCGAATATCGTGACCGTACGTCGAGCGGTTAAGATTTGAGCCCAACTGTCGACGGACGGACGGACGCACTGACGGCCGGACGATCATGCGATTCTACAAGCTGCATCTGACTACATCAGATGAGCTAATAAATGAACAGAAAACGTGTCTGCTATCTTGAGATTCGCGGTAATGGAATTTTCAAACGCCCCCACAAAACAAGTGCACGTGGTCACGTGAAGCAAATATTTATAGCATGGTACCTGATGGTACCTAACTCGATACGTATATAAGGCTAATTAACCTAGTGTAGAGACAATATTCCGGCCAATGGCATATCTCGAGAGCAAAAATCACGCGTTAGTTTTGACATTATGTAAACGAATCCAATTTGAAATGCAGATAGCTGCGCATGTTTGTGAAAAGAATGATGTTCAAATTTCTATGCCATGTTGGCCTTACTATATATGTACTTGGTGTTACGCAAGGAATACCGGAACGGTCGAGGAAATATAAAAATGGTTGGTAAAAGCATGTGAAATCCTCACTTTAATATAATTGCGAACATAAACTCTAATAAAATTGTGGCGTCGAACAATTTCAAGTCGGTTATAATGCGAACAGTCGGATTTTCACAGGGAAAACGTTGTTTTATTTCGCACAGCACTCTGTCGTCATAACCGGCCATGTTCTCTCTCCGCGTCCCCTTTTATACTTCTGGGCGTGCCCTTCTCGTTGGGCGCGTCCCTTCTCGCCTCGCCGGCCGCTTCGGCCATCTCCCCTATTTAATCTTCCCTAAATTGGTTCGGCGTCGGACATTAGTATGACGAGTGACCACCTGGTCTATCTTACGTCGGTTTGGACCGACCCAACCCTTTGGCCCCTGGCTGGCTGCCAAAATGTCCCTGGTTGCTTTATTCTGCATGCATTGCTTCGTGGCAGTGGCTAATTATCTTAGCCCACACTACTGCGTGCTCGCTAATATCCAACGCCTTCCGTGGCCCTCTAAAACTAATCGCAACATCTGCCGTTGGCAAAGTTACCAATCTTCTTAGCGTTGTGGTGTTAATATTACCTCCGCCCAACGGAGTTGGAGGGGAGGTTACGTGATCGGTCTCGTGCTTTCGTGTGTCAGTGTGTTCGTGTAGTCAGCAGCAGGCCAGTCAGTGTTAGCGTGTTAGTGTGTTGGCGCGATCGATATTAGCGCGTCGAGTCGAGCGTGTACATGCGAGCGAGCAGCAGCAACGAGCGGCTGCTACGAGCTATGTCGCTGGCGGAGGTATGCACTCTCCGTGAGTGCCCTCTGTCTAGTTATTCAATGTGCCGTTGGAGGCTTCTGGACGCTTCTATAATCATCGTCTCTCTAACTAATTTCTCTACCACGCGTGCCACCGTCGCTTGTGCTCCCTATTCCTACATTTCGATATTATTAATTCGCTCACGTGATTTCTGCTTCATTACAAAATGTTATATAGGGAAATCGTACCATGGGTATAAGTGTGCGCAAAATTAATTAGTAAATTACGAAGTAATATTGGTAATAATGAAGTCAAACAGTAAAAAATGAAATTAGTCAAAAACTATTTAATTGTTATTGTTATATCTGTACAAGTATAATTACAATGTCACATGGAGGCTTCAAAATAATAAGGGTAAGGCAAATAACAGGCTGGCGAAACTACTTCTTGTATAAGATAACAGTGCGCTCATCTACGCTAACATTTTATAGAACGCAGGTGCTTAGCTAATACTGCTGGTAAACACAAGATTAAACAAAACAGGAGATAATGCGAGAGGAGACGGCAATCGCTACAATGCATCTAAAAGGGTCAATTGCCGCGTGAATGCTTCTGACGCTACTTATCGTGTTCTGTTACTCTCTCGTGCCGTGTTCAGCACCGTACACAAGGATGTGCGGAGCTTGAGACTGTGAGCGCGCACAATAACCGACTGAACAGGCAGTTAGACAGGTACACACTTTATACGCAAATCATTAGTGCCCTAAAGTGACACCAAAGTGACATAGGGCGACCACCAATCGTGAGATTTGGTACACTATTACGTGCTGTATGGAAGCCAGCGATTCGAGTGGCATGGCTGATGTTGTTTTCGTAAATATACTAACCTATGCTGTCGTTGGGATACACGCCTAAATATGTCATCACTTCAATAATTAAACCGTGAACGTTTCACACATGCGCTCGCGCTGATGCATTGCAACAGTTTCATCCTTTAACACGTCAGCTAAATTTCTGTTACCCGCTATTTCACACACGAAACGGGATAATTAGTACATTTTAGTCGAGTGAAGACGTTACGGCTATATGACATCACAAGAACGCCTACAACGTTATATGATAAACCAGTACACAACGTTATCAGTTACGTCCTGTTCTGTGCAAGCTAGCTATGCAAGACAATACACAAGACATTCTCTGTTGACGTTGATGATGTGGATGTCCAGCAGGTATGTTCACGAAGGTCATTTTGCCACGGAGACGTAGGTGCCACGTCCACCTCCTCTATATTTCGTCCAATTTTAATTGTTCCACAATTAAACAAAATCAAACGCAAACACATAAAAGTTATCTGGCCTTTAATACATAAACAATTGCTTAGTTCTAAATGATATATTATTATATAACATATTTACCTCTCTCGCGTATCGCCATACATTCGCAATGCCTGCTGTATATTACATTTTATCAGAAGTAGATAATAGGGAATGTTCCCTATTATCTACTTCTGATTTTATTTTACACAGCACAGTAAAATTCTAACGACCTAAAATCTGTAAATTATCGATAAAACAGACAATGAGTAACAAACGATGAATCAGTGCGATCGGAATGAGTCTTGCAACAGACCAGCTAATGTGACGAGAGAGAGAGAGAGCCTGCACTATTAAATGTGCTGACAACACGCCATTCCTGAACTACAAAATGAATAAAAATCTGTTCGTACCTAAATAGTTTTTAAAGCGAGCATAACACGTTTTCCACGCAAGCACGTGTTCTTTGCACGTGTTATAATAAAAGAAAAAAACTGATTCTGCCAACTATACTTACTGGCTGGGTGCATTTCTCAACAGTCTCTGCCATAACTTACAAATAGCTAACGCACGTGCATCTGAATTACCGAGCTTTTATGCGACCAAACGCTATGATAGCCAAACTTGTTCAGCAGTTTGAGGGCCGAAGTCGACAATGAAACAAACTTTTCATAATTAAAAATCATCGTGTCTATGCAAGCTTCCGCCAAACCGTCTCACGCAGCCTACGTATTCACAACTGCCAACACGTAATAATAATAATTATAATAATAACAATAATAATATTAATAATAATAATAATGTCATCATCTCTGGCTGTCACCTGAACAGGAACATCAGCACTTAAACAATTAACATCAGCTCTACAAAAATGACGTCAAGGGAATTTTTACCCGTGGACATATGTTGGCAGATCAGAACGAACTTGCTAACACAAACTGCGCTGCTTTCGTCAGATGGTTCACTAGCGATCGCCTGCAGCTTGTGTTTAATGTGGATAATAGCCGACACTTAACAGGCGTATAACGCGCTAAGAGTTTTATTTACCAGTGAGATGAAACGCTGCGTCAATACACGTGACGGCTTAGCATGACGCTAACGCCTACACAGCTCTTGTATTTTGTCGTACATCAATAATTATAGTTAGGTCAGCTTGCTCGCAACCTGTGCGTAAGTGCACGCATACGTTTGCCTACGTGCGTGCCCACGTGCGTGCGCGCATGCGTGCTAGCGAGAGCGCTTACGCATTGACATGGCCCGTTTATACATTACTATCCACAAAAATGGAAACGGGATAAACCGGAGAGTGCACTTAGTAGTGTATTCTACGAGCACAGCGGATCAGCGCCATTATACATACGCGGCATTTTACGCAGTGCCAGTGCATCTAGCCAACGGCCGCGCAATTTCATAATATTAATATAGCTGTTGGTTAGACGAAAATGTCCGGAAGTAGGCTCATCTGTCGAGTGGTTCGTTGCGATTATTGAAGAACTAGCGGTCAATTATCATTAGGTGTGATTAAGATAATACCACCGACGATGAGGGGCGGAGATGGTTGCTTCCGGCTGTGCAGTGATACATCTATGATATTTACTCTACATCAGCTAGAGACTATACAATCTACCGAACCACGCGAATTATCACACAGCATTGATGCAACGCTGCGTGATGGTAGTAGTGTTGGTGGTAGTGGTTCGTGCGTACGTGTGCCCGTGCGTGCGTGCGCGCTGGGTGAGGTGGGGGTAGATATTAGCAGCATTCGAATCCCACGTGCATGGGTAAGACGAGTAAAGCCATTCAGATATTAGTAATCACGTCAGCGGCGATTCCTTGAGGCGATTGTATTGCTATTTATTTCCGATATCATACGTTCATATTAACCTCACACCCACGACGGATAGGTCTGCCTGTGGCTTTAACTGACTTCTACCACCTACTCTCAAACCAGCAAACTATAATAAGAATAACATTTGATATTCAGTGTCTGTTATCTGGCACTAGTGGCGGATCAACTGGCTTGACTGCGTTGCTTGGTGCGCCCTCGAGGCAGTACTATTTGAAATAAGGTGGGAAAGAGACTCACACGTGCACCAACTGGCGACAAGACACCCATAACTCCTACTCTCATGTATACCGTAAACACACGCTCGCTGGCGCACGAACGAACGCACGCGTCTGCACGCGTGCGGAGTTAGTTAGCTGCGGCTAGACAGGTAAACACGGTGCAACTCGATTATGGGGAAATTTCAATGATGTCACTACTTGTTACATAACTTCTTATTGACCAGCGACCACGGCAACGAGGCGCATGTAAAACCGGCTTTAAATGTATTCATAAACGCAAATTCTCATTAATCGGCATTAATGACTCGGTCAAATGCGGCTCTCCTACACGTACACCGGTAGTACTACTGATTAATGACAGGTAGGAAATTCGATTGCAAGCACATCGACATGGTGCAAACGGACGTCGTTAGCGATCGGAAGGACCATATCACACCAGTAAAATTATCCTCACTCCCCAGTCTTCTTTAATTAACTAGTTATTCACATATTCACGTTTAATCGTCGTGATATTTATACGTGCACGTGAAACAACAACGTAGGCTACACATATACGAGGGACATGAACGGAATCTTTACATCTGTATTAAACAGGGAACGTTTAAAAGGTGCCATGCCGTGAGTTCTTCTCCAAATTATTCTTTACAAAAACAAGAAAATTTTAACACGGAATCTAAACGCGCTACAAATAGCAACAATATCAAAACATACGCACAAATAAATAAGCCGCGTTCACTGACAAATTCGGTGCATGCTGTTTATGACTAGCATACAGATGGCAGTGTATTCTGCATTTCCGTCTACTTTATAGTTGGAGTAGTTTTATATTCATGTTTTAACTTTCTTCGGGGCCCACCTGAGCGAAGGCAGATGTTAGCATGTCTATTGGTTATATGTTTCTCGTTAGTTGATTATGGCAATCGAGCAACCTTTATTTTCAATCCGATTAAATCACGCTTACTTCGAACTGAATCGCATAGAGCAAATTTATAAACGTGAACAGTATCACACTTTCTGCCAATTTCGGCTGCGATAACACACCAGCTAAGACGCATCACGTCTCTCTGGATAACACCAAAAAATTGTTGCTCCTTTTGCCCCTAAAAAACCTGCTGTCTTTCTAATCTTTTCGTTATCTGTGCAATGCACCCAGCCCAGTGCTCGTCGCTAACACTTGAAGAACAATTTTCAAACAAACGTAACACCTTTGAAGCCAATCTAGTGCAACTGCGAGAAACGAGAAAATCAAGAGAACTCACGCGAACGAACGCGCGAAGAAACGCTCATTATATACGAACGTACGTAAGAAATGAACTAGGCGCTGACGGGCAGAGGTTAAACCATTTAATATAACCATTTCTATAAAACAGTTAAATACCGAAAATCACAATAAATCTACTTGAAAAAGACAATCCTCCCGGGATAGTCATAGTATCCGCTACAAAAACGGTTAGCTTAGTGCGTGAGCAATCCTCAATGAAGAGAACAGGCGGCTTGGTTTCCTATGCTTAGATCCGACTCTCTCAAAGGAGTATGATGCATCAAACAAGAACCGCCACGATACCGTCATGCGCTGTACACAGGTGTGTCCATTAGACTTCGTCCGACATTTCTACACAACCTTGATACCTTACACGAGACTAAAAACACATGTGAGAACGAAGAACTTTGTCGTCTCGTATTCATTGACGAATGCAGAAATCCATATTCTAAGCTACAACGTACGGCTTAATCAGGATAAGAGCTTACAGATATGACATACTGATCTATGTTTACATGTTAGTAAGCGTACATAAATAGGGATCTCTATTGAAATATTACATCTAATGGATACCTCTATTTATGTACTTCTGACGTCAGCAAACACCACCAAGCTAGTGCTGCTGTGTTTAGTGAGTACAGCTCTGCAAATGCCTGCAAGTCCATTTCTGCAAAATTGCTCATTACTAGCCCAAATATCAAGAAATACCTGCAGTTGTCTCTATTTGGTTTTTGAAGAAAAAAACCCAGATAATTATAGGTACTTTTCTAAAAAAAATTCTGGTGATTAAGAATACCCCGTAGAGGTAACTAATGTGCTCACAGAACTATACACGCAGAAAAGCAATAGCTGCACCACTGTTACATAGAAATATGAGTCAGTCTCCCACACACTTGCCCCCGCTCTTTCACTCTCCCTCTTTTTTCTCTCCATATATATATATATATATATATATATATATATATATCTCGCTATCTCTTACGCAAACACACCCCACACGAACACTAGCCACTCCCACGTACGCGCACTATCTGTGTATTGGAAATTACATCAAATGGCAAGGGTGAAACACAGTGCTTTGCAAATAGCAGCTTCTTGGTTTGTCAATGTGGAAGCTCTCACGCGTGCGAAATGGCAGCCACCTGCTCAAACATGTCATTGACAATGCGGTGTGATTGGTCTGAATGACCAACCGCGCAGGGCCCACTTAGCCCTGGTCTGAGCACAATGCCATTAGCACTTACTCTTCAATCGGTTTTCCATCAGTGATCTCCCAGTGATGTTGTGGATCGATCGATGAACTTGATTGCAAGTTCGTTCCCATCTTATATATTACAGGTCTTCCGGGAGCTAACAGATGCCATCGCGGTCACGTCTCAACTCCTTCATAGAATCATGTAGTACAAAGCCACATACTGGCATGACTTGCCATTCACCTGTGATATAAAAGGAATATGAAACCCCCCAAAACAATAAACAGCCTTTTGTTGTTGAAACAGCGATATCATAAAAACAAAGAAAAAAATTTAAACAAAGGCATCACTGTTGTAACTAATTAAATTTTGATTACTGAACCTACAGATGCAGGGAAATTTTGTGAGCACGTTTGCAGCTGATTCACTGAACAATGGAAGAAAAAACATAAATATTGAGAAACATATTATTGGACAATATAAAGTTTTAATTAAAAACAGCCAATAGAACCGTACTTCAAAGCACTAAATCAATATTATAATAATTGCCACAATGATCAAAATATAAAACGATCTGAAAGCAATACAGAGAAACTGAATAACTACTATTACAATGTACTACTATACTTTATTACAATGTATTACTATACTTTATTACTATGTTCCATATTTAACAATCTACTTGCTTCATGGAACAACACACGTACACACATAGACGCGCGCACGCACGCACGCACGCCCCCGTTTGCACAGATGTTATCAACAACATTTTGCATTGGTCTGGGTGATGCTCCATTAGGAGCATTCCCAACTTTAATGTCATTAATGTCGTGATATAAAAGAGATATAAAGAGGGGGGGGATCGATATCAATTAGATATCAAGATATGAAATAGATATCAAGGGGGGGGGGTGGATCGATATCAATTAGATATCAAGGGGGGGTTAGATATGAAATAGATATCAAGGTGGGGGTTATATAGGGTATATAGAGGGAGCAAGCAACATTGAGACTGGGGTATGTTCGCTTCGTTTCACTGGACTTCGTTGCTCGAGCAAGCGAAATACAGAGCGGGGCCATGTTCGCTTCGTTTCGCTGGACTTCGTTGCTCGAGCAACCGAAATACACAGCGGAGCCATGTTCGCTTCGTTTCGCTGGACTTCGCTGGACTTCGTTGCTCGAGCATTGCTAGGGGATCATGCATGCCCCGGAAAATTTTTTGATTCTGAGATGCAATTTCCTGCATTCTGAGGCTCAAAAATGACAATAAATTGACAAAAAATGACAATAATTGACGATCACAGTGAAATTCGTAGTTTGATACAAACTGGTCGTAGTAGTGCAAAAGAAATAGAAATTCGTATAAAATACGGATAAATCGTAGTGGTTGGCATCTCTGCTTTAAGGTTACTCTCCAGGGTTTAGGCAAAATTTTACCGATTTCCCACTTTCATTCTTATTCGATGGCTAACACTAAGTGTCACCTCGGTACATACTCATTTCTCCATATAACGATACATGTGAACTTTCAGAGCGTTTTGATTGCCTGCGTACACGTGTAGTGAGCCGCAGCTGACGTCACTGATGACGTCAGAGACATGATACAACCAGCATTTTCACGGTATTCACTAAGCCAATATCATTCAGCATCAACCCTCCTACAGCTGTCACCTGCCAGTGATAGTTGAAATTTCTGCATGACCGAAAATAGCACCGTTTCCTTTGTTACACAAGTGTATTTAGATGCGCGTTTGTTGACACATAGCTTAGTAACGGCATGCAGTACACATCGTACATGCATTTTGCATAAAAGTGCGATGGTAACCTCGTAATTGCTCAAAATTTCTCAAGGTGCATAGAACATTTTACCAATTTAGTGGTGTCAGTTAGTAATGGATATGTCACAGTAAGTACTAACACTAGATGTTTCACATACGTTCACCCATTTTGCACACAAGCGGGCGATCATTGTGTCACCGTTTTCGATTTCTGCCATAGTAGCCCGATGTCTAAATCGATATTTCTCTGTGATTACAACTTGGAATAATTTAATTTTACACTCGTTTTAATGGTAACATATTGCTGTAAAAAAGCGCATCAGGGATTGTTATTTAATTACGTACATGTGTGAAGAAGAGGCCTGGACAGCCTCTACGGGGCACAGCTCAACTGAGTTACCCTACGTGGATTTAGCTTGCTGTTTTGGTGTTGCCATTATATATGTAGGAGAAAAATGATTGTTATTTAATTAAGTGCCGTATTTTGTTATGCAAAAATTTTCAATTCAAACGTGCGACTTGAATTTTAGAGAGTAACTATAAAGCTTAAAGAAAATTCCTCATGCACTTTTTTGTTTCATATTGGGCTTAACTTGTAACAAAAGTTTTGCTTTCTCACTCTTTGTGGTAAATGAGAAATATCCAAAATGCCATTTTTACATAAAAATTCAAAATTCGCATGGTAACATAATTAGGTGCTGGAAATTTCATGAAATTTTTTGGCTTGAGCATATACATCTCGTGTGATGGATTAGATTCATTCGTCAATAAATGTTTAACTTTACTCTTCATTAGAGCAATACCCGCACAAAAGGTGGAGAGTATCCTTCCATTTCTGTAGCAGTCAAACATAAAGGAGGCATACAACAGTAAGCCTCTGCAAATTGTTCTCCGTTGCACTATATGGTCTCTAGAAAAGGAATTTTTTGGCTTTTTTTTTCGCCGAAATTCGGCACTAGAGTGCAATAATTTGCATTATGCACGCAAGTTAGATGCCTACACAACGTCTAGAAAACATTAGAAGTAAAATTGATCTTGTCGTGTAGTAACAGTAACCGGTTGGTAATTTTTGTGTTTGATATGTGTTCAGACTACTTTGCAGAAATTCGCATCATAGAGCTGGCAAAAGTTTCGAGCGGAGCATAGAGCATGAATCTGTTTAACATGAATAACGTGTATGTTGTGTATGCGAAGTAACAGTGTGAGTATTTTTAATTAATTTCTGTTTGATGCTCATTCAGGTCGCCGCCTATGGACGCCCTCTACTGTTGTTCACCACCTAAATGCGAAGGTAACAAGGCAACCATCTCAACTCTCCAGAACAAACAGTAATTTACAGCAACAATATCGATACGATACATACCATGGCATGGAACAGCACTGGTTACATTAGTTTGCAGGGGCAGAGGCAGCAGCACCATCTTCCTGCAGAGTACTACCCACTGCAACTTCACTATCTGCATTTTGCTGTGCAGTAATATCTTGAATGACGTCTACTTGTTTTGCGTGCAAAGGAATAAGTAAGGATACCAACTCTGGCACCCCACACAGTTCTGTAAAATAATAATAGTTGCCATTATATCAAGTGTAGGTTTCGTTCGTAGGCAAATACGTGAGCAAATTAGGCATAAACTAGGCATAGACAATTAGGCTGACCCTTATTCAAGCTTTCGCTAAAATATTGCAAAAGATAGCAAAGATGTAAAATCGGCGCACAACTGAACAACCATCGAGTCCGAAACATGTTAAGCTGGGTTTACACTACCAACTATGTTGTCAAATTGGACCAACTTCCCAACTATACAACCAACAACCGGCAGTGTAAAAGCGAAAGTCGTGCGAGCAACTGGTCGATAGCAACTAGTTGCGAAAATAGAAAATGTTCTAATATTTTATTATACGTTTACAAACTCACCTTTCTCTGTGAAGTTAAAGAGGGGTGGCAGATCTTTGCCCATCGGCAGCCGTGTCTTTGGGTCTCGCAGCTCACTAAAGAACGCATGCGCGCATGCATGTAGAGGAGCAATGCGAGCTGATGGGGTGTACTCAAGCAGTTTACTCGTCAGGTCTATAGCTTCAACGGGTGTCCTTGGCCGAAACACCTGCAATGCAGTCACAAGCAGAGTGGAGTAATTAAGCATCTAACAATATGCTGAACTGTATGCAGCCAATGGCATCTGGTTATCTTATAATTGGTGTATTCACTTATTATTTCATATTACAATGACCCTGTTCGCAACGACATGGATTCTTATGATGAATATCTTGCATTACGATAACAGTGGCAGCAATTGTGAGGATATGGTAAATGGGCTTCTATATTTCACAGTTTACGATAGGAACCACATATAAATACTATATCTTAATATGCACTAAGTCTTGATTGTGAATTTATATGTAATAGGATCCTGAACATACAAATGTAAGTTACCATTGTAAGTTATTGTGTACCAAAGTATACATACATCAGGGCGTCAAGTGACAAGTGACGCTCAAAAAATAGGAAAATAGGAATTTCAGATGTGAAAAAATAGGAAGAAAATAGGAATTTTGGTGAGAAAATATATGTTAAATAGGAATATTTGTTGCGTTAGATGGCCTCCCAACACCCCTACAGCCATCCCGATCCACCACAAATGGTTTTATTAATATACATATTTGGAGTTACATCACATGCGAACAATATTTTGAGGTTTTAATGAGAAATGCATGTTAAAATTGATAAGCAGTTTATACATGCATAAGCACCCATACATGTAGACTACTCCAAAATAGTATGACGTACATATATACATGGGCGGATCCGGCTTTTTGAAAAAGGGGGGGTCCAGTAAGAAATAAAGGGCACTTTTATAAAAACGTGCCAAAGGCAGCTTATGCGACGTGTCTAAGGCACGTTGCCACTTAGAGCGGGGTTAGGGGGACCTCCCCCAAGAAAAATGTTAAAAATTTGTGCATTCTGAGAGCATCTGAGCAGTAATTTTGATGTCTATAATGCAAAATGGAATTCCAAAATTTCAGGCAGAAAATTATCTTTTATGTGTTTTCTCTTTTTTGGGGTAAAAAAGAGGGGGTCCGGACCCCCTGGACGCCCCCTCTGGATACACATACCACATCTAACTGAGAAACAACTTTACTGAAATAAAATATGTGATAGTAAAGAGTATATTACATTAATTTAAAGTAAGGGGTGGGGGTCCTCCCCCAGAAAATTTTTGAAAATTGGGTCACCTGAAATGTAAATTCCTGCATTCTGAGAAGGATACATACAATTCTGGATTCAGAAAAATAAAAAGCCCTCAAAAATAGGAAAAAATAGGAATTTGTCCAGAAAATAGGAGAAAATAGGAATTGCCCAGAAAATAGGAAAAAATAGGAATTTGTCCAGAAAATAGGAGAAAATAGGAATTGCCCAGAAAATAGGAAAAAATAGGAAAAAATAGGAACTTGACGCCCTGATACATATCAAATTGTATATAAGTTAAATATATATATGTACAAGTATGTATTGTAATGACTGTAACATGTTTGTAACATACCTGAAATAAAGAAATTATTAAAAACAAATTATGAGGATTTCCACAACCTGTGAAACATGCTGCATTGATTAGCAGGTGTGTGGTTCATGGCTAGTTTATAACTTTTCACTTTTCAATGTCGCATACCTGACCAATTTGCTTATTGTATGCAGTGCAAACTCCAGAACAGTGCATGGTTTTGATACATGTTTTTTTAATTATTTGGGGAACCATAGCTCTGAAAACCCTTTGCATGGGTTTATAACTTCATTAACTGCAACGCAATTCTGCTATGTACCCGAAGACTCCTATACTTATTCAAAATTATTTCAATGACTGCTGGTAAGCATGTGGGCGTGCGTGCGTTGCGTGTGTTTGTACGTGTGTACATGAGCACCGTATCTTGGCACTTGCAATAAAGACCATACAAGAATGTTTAGTTGTTACAGTTTAAAAATGCAATGGCTCCTTTCAGTGGCTTTACTCGCCGACAATAAAAATGTCCTTAATTGTTTTAAAATATGTAAAGTATATAATTTCTTATTTGTGGAGTAAATTGAAATATTCATACTGAAACCAATGCTACGTGCTTTGAAATTCTTTGTCGTACAATTAGTTAGCTTTTCGCAAGGTCACAGTTAGGCTTAATTCTACGCATCACCATAGGAATGCTAAGGGAGGGGTATATCACGATATATATCAGCTAAGAATGGAACAGCAGCTGAAATAAATGCTGTATTGTTACGTAAACACAACCGGATATAGCACGATCAAGCATAAGAGCACCATCATTTTACCTTTTTTATACTTGAGTTTTTAAATAAATTGAATTTTCAGCAACGTTTTCCATCCTTAACAGTGTTCATTTTTGGGTGCGCCCTTGCGTTAGTAACGCAATATTTATTGTAAAGTCACATCTGAATGCAGCGTCCGCGCCCACCCGACGCAAATAAATCGTTATGGATGCAAAATTATTTTGATCAAGCACCCGTCCGCATTATAAAGCCAGGTGCACACGCACGATATGTTACGGTATTAGTTGCTGGGTTTTCTCGCAGGAAATAATCAGTGTAACCCGCACACGCTACGCCGTGTGCGCTGGCTACCGATTCAAAATCAGGACAAATGCGGTGCGAGTCATCCCAACATGCATTGTGCGCTACGACAACAACAGCCATTTCGAAGTGTTTGTACTTTTAATATTTTACTTGCTTTTAAATATTAGTTTTTAGTGTAACCTATTAAATGTGCTTAAGCGACCCTAAGGGTGATCAACTAACAGTGTGCTAATTTTGGGCATCCTAAACCAATACGGCGGCATGCATACACAGAGTTAGTTTTTATAGCATAGATATTGCGAGATCGATCATATGTGACTTTGGCATTGGCATTGTTATTAAGAGCACCAGCGATAGCTTTTAACGCATGTGACCTCTTATTGGGGTCTTTGTATTCAGATGGTGTTGTGTCATAGAAACATTTATGCTGCGACCACATATCAACAAGTAATGCTTCCTTTTTGTCGTCCCAAAAAACTGCACGTCTTCCATGGATGCTGCCATTTTGTTGATCATGTGATTTTTGCTCGATGCTGATTGGCCCATGTAACCGGGGTTTCCCGTTGAACACCGCACACGCTACGGTCCGATTTTATCTGTGCGGTTTTTACCGGGAGATATCAAACCCGATTGATATGCTCCAGTCACTAGCGGTAAAAATCGCAGGATAATGAGACTATTCACCCGCTGGGTGGGAACAGAAAAAGTCGTACGGGAAAAACCGTAACGTGTGCGACAGGCTTAAGTATACATACTGATAATGAAGCTTCATGTCGATTTTACGAGCGATCTTTTTCGAGATTTGGGAAATAGAACAAAATGCTTCAGATCGGCTGTTTCCTGGCTTGTTGGCCGGTTTTCAAGTGAAATTATAATATAAACATACCATTTTGATGCTTGGCTGATAAAAAAAATTCTGGGAAGGCATGCCCCGGACCCCTCCTAACAAGGCTTCGCACCTTCGGTGCTCGCAAGGGCCCCTAAATTAGAATAATAGGGGGCCCAGGATCCCATTTGATAAATGGCTAGAATAAACATTGCCTTAATTTACTCGACTTCGTCAACGTGATATGAAAGCTTTTGCTAAAAGTCAAAATATTCAGACTAACAACTTTCACTCAATGGGTGGCCACCAGACTTCACGTGGCTGCAACGGATAAACTGGGATATGCATAGACATAGACGCAGTCTGCAGTCAATGCCCCGAGGGCTTGTTCTTAGATACCTTCTTAGCTGGTATCGAGAAAGTCAACGTGTATTTGATATTTACTTTTGGAATATGAGAGGAAAGTATTTATTGCATCCACCTATATGATGCGTCGTCACTGTTCTCATCATTTTAGAGAAGTGGGTAAGCACTGCTTTTAGACCTATGCTCTGGATTTGTGCACTGCGGATACATCTGTTCAAGTCCCAAATATGACAAATTCGAAGAGGATGTTCCACGTTTTCTTGACTTGGGTTCAATACCTTGCGTGAAGGTGCGATACCCGAAATCACTGTCACCCTCCTTGGGCTTTGACTTTAGTTGATATTTCGTTTTGATCAGACGTCATCATTATAGATTGCCACCGCTGTGCCGAATATGAGCACTGTAGGTGAATGGCATTTAAGATTTGTGCCACAGTTTATAGACAGGCTCATGCAAATACTCTTGCTATTGTTATTCTACAAGCTGCATACAGGCAATGCCAAGCTGGCTAAAAATCCATACTTTGCTTTATATTGTAAGCATGCAGTCTACACGAACGTAGGTGCACATGACAGTAGCAATACTATGGGCTTGCTATAGTAATGAATAGGGATGATAGCCGGTTGAGTAACACGAGATGGGAAGATGGCTGAACGGAAATGAGCAATCACACAAACTACCTCAATGTTTTAGCTAAAGAATATCATGCTATAATTTATCAGCGTTTTACGTGTTTAGCCTCGTACTGCAGCCTGCTACTATAAACAATCTTACGAGAATAAGAATATAGTGCCTGGTGTGTTGAATGTGCGCCACGTGTTGTGTAGCTCAGGTACAATTTTGTCCAGATCGTATATGTTCCTACTTGTTAGGTTTACCACAGAGATGGGTACAACACGTAAACCTAGGTGAGATACTAGAATTGAAAAGGGCTATCCATTGACTCATTACAATTAACCTAATATCATAGAAAACATCACGGACACAGATGCCTCTTTCAGACGACACCTCAAAGCTCCACGAATGACTCAAACGCCATACCAATGTGTTGCCAACGATTTCTTTTGCTTCTCTTGGATGATACTTACTTTTTCTTTTTATTATTTGCACAATTGCACTACCTATTGCACTAGAAGTACTACCAAGTAACAGACTAGTTTACGAAGGTGTTTAAATTTGTTGAAAATATGCTGTTTAAACAGCAATACTGCAGTTTTAAATGTCAAATAAGTTTAAATGTATTTTTTCAACACAAACGAATTCACGGGTATAAAATACAAACGAATGCATTCAGACGGCATGAGACTTGAGCAACAAGTGCCGCGGAGCGACAGCGCTCATCTCACGTCTACTGCGGTGACTCTGTGGTGGAGTGGTGGGATTCTAGTAAACCCTGTTAGTCCCAAATGTGTTCACATACGCGCCGAAACAGTGGAAGGCAAAGGGCCATATGGTATCAGGAACCTTCTCGAAGGAATGTTCGTTGGGATCGTTATGAAAGTTGCCACGAGATGGTGCGTACGTTTAAGTGTCTTAAGATTAAAGATGGAAGCTCCCATCGTACGTAGTAGCAACAACTATTTGCAAGACAGAATAGGTAAGCACTCATCTATTTACCTACGCAAGCCTACAGGCTGAAATAGAGAGCTGCCACCTGTAACTAATTAACGCAAGCAAAAACTACACAGTACTATCACCACCACATGCACTGGCAGTGGCTACTGGCAGTGGCATAAGTTACATGTAACACACTGACAGTACAGAATGCCATAGAAATTATACGATTTAAGGAGCATAAACCTTCTTCAACCAAATTTAGCTTTTGAAATTTCACTGTGACATTGTAGCCTCATACGTCCAGGCATGTATAGATTCTACTAGCAAACCTGGCAATCAAATTCTTTCTAACAGTGAACAAATCCATGTTTAACCCTCCTCTTGAGGGTTAAAAGGTTATCCGACACTTACTCTTCGCATGTCAGCGGAAAGTACATTTCATGGTCCTTTCAAATAAAGCCATAAAAATGGTAGGTTACCGCTGAAACAAAAAAGTTTTTCAATTGCTCCGTCAGACCATGTCCTCAGAAAATGTCTAAAATCTGCCCTGTGCTACATTGACCTTTGACCTGTGACCTCCAATTTCGGCACAGTGATGGCTTTTCCTACCATCATGCTATACACCGACTATCACGAGCCTAGGTCGAGCCGTTTAGATTTGTGCCGCAATTCTGCATTTCCTCCATATACCTTAAGTTAAGGAGGGAATGTTCCCCCTTCTTTTACACCTCTTGACCTTTGACCTTTGACCCCCACATCCCAACTCGTTTTCGAATTACCCCCCCCCCCACGTCCCGACTTTCGAATCCGTACGTAGAGCCGTTTAGATTTGTGCCCAACTGTTGACGGACGCACGGACGCATGGACGCACGCTCATGCGATTCTACAAGCTGCATCTGACTATGTCAGATGAGCTAAAAATGGAGATGGCATTGCACCTTAAAATGTATAAGTAACAACTAAAGGTCACGCTTATGCCCACATAGAAAGTTGGGACTACCAGATATATTAGAAATAAACAAACTTAAACTGACCAATTGATTTTGAACAGCCCCCAAAGTAAATGATGATGCCAATAAAGTCAGATGGGGAGAGTAAATTGTAGAAAGTTGTGCAAATCAAAATTTACAGGAGGCTCAGTCAAGTTTTTGCACCCTTAAAGGAATTATGTCAAAATTATTTTAAATAACGCTCAATCTGGAAAATATGTTGTGAATTATAGTCTCACCTAATAATGGATATGTTAGTTATTACACCAACCTGAAAAACACTAAGAGTTTATGCTGTTTTTAGCATAGAAAATTGGAATTGATCACATCGTAACAACATGAGATATTTGATTATAGCAACAATTAATTTGCAAATGGCACCCACAAAACAAATGCACCTAATTCAAACAAAGGGCATCTGATTCTGAGTAGTGAACGCAGTGTAATTTTAAAATTCTTTATCCCTGGCCGAGTCTTGCGCTATCGCGAGAACGTGCGAGATTAGCGGGAAATGGCAGCGGAAATCAAAATAAGTTATCAACATTTGAATCATTGTTTTGGTGAATACAGTACGAAGGTTCTAACACGTGTTAGCATTACTGTAGACAGTTGCTGTTGCTCAAGCAATAACGGTAATATCGAAAGAGTGCGAAAAACACAAGAATGATCGGAAATTATTTTTGAAGGACTTACTTTAGCTTATGCTGTAGAATAAACTATATTCCATTTCGTAATTCATTTAACTTAGAACCACTGGGTCTCGAAGCTGGGTTTATAGTTAGCGTTTTTAGCACTTAATTGTGCACTATGAAAGTAACATTATTAACACATCACTGTAACGTGGCAATTCCGGTGACATTCCAAAGAGATATTGTTTGTTCAGAAATGTTAGAAGACGGTTTTGCAATTTATGTAGAGCGGGTTGGAATTCTCTGTGAGGAACTCAGGAAGAAGAATAATTACAGTAAAAATAATACCAAAAGTTACATGTTCTTCTCCAAATATAAGTATCTATAATACAATTAAACAAACATTACGAACATACACAAACAAATTGTTCAAGGGCAACCAACTGGGGTGACGTTGAGCAATATTGGACTATTTGCTTACAATTGCTGCAAGCCCTAAAGCAGCGTACTGCATCAATTATCTCCTTTTCCCCACATTGCATTGCCAGATCAATACCAACTACACCGAGTTGCATACTGACTTGCTGCACCCGTCCTCCCCATCTAAATTCCATCCTGTACTAATACCCGGATTCAAATTGGTATTAGATACTACAGGTCTAACTCAACTGAATCAGTCTATTGGCGGCTCCGCGCAAACCTGCGCTTGCCGGCCGCGCCCTCAGCAACCCATCCGTCGCCCCAGAGTGCCACTGTATGAACATCACCTTTGACGATACCTTTGACCATGGGTGAGCCTTGATCTGAGGAAACTTGAACTCCTTATAGTGTGGGTTCATCTCCTGGATTTGCTCGCGCGACGGCGTGCCCAGCACCTTGATGATCTCCACCAGCTGATCGACGCCGCTGTCACCCGGAAAGATCGGCTGCCCCAGCAGCAGCTCAGCTAGCACGCAGCCCGCCGACCAGATGTCTGCAACACAGCGTGAAGCCGAGTGATCAATTGGGGGGAGGGGAGTAGAGGTGAGGGAAGAGAGGGGAGGAGACGTGAGGAGAGGTAAGGGGAGGGCAGGGGAAGAGAAGAGAAAGAGAAGGTGGGGGGTGAAGAATCGACTGATCCAAAAGAATGTCAGATAGCAGTGAACAGAGTGAAAGAGAAAACATAATTTACTAACTTATAACAGAATGTAATCACATTCTCAGCATGACACATATTTTTAATAGTAGTCATAATTTATTCTTTTAAGCCAGCCAATAAAGAATTATGACATATTGGTTGAGATTTTTTTGCGAGAGGTCAATCAGCAATAATTAAACCAAATCTGCAATTTTCCTAGTTGAACTTAAATTGTTGACCAGTGAACAAGTGGAGCATGAAGAAAACATTACATCATTATTGCTGACACTGACATAAGTTAGACAACTCGCAACTTCGTTACATCAGTACGATGTAACGTTGCGTGCCTTGCTAAGTGCACCTATGCTTATTAACGTTCACGCATGCTGAATATACAGGAAAATACGGCTAGACTGTAAGCTTCTTTAAGAACAACAAACAGATTTTACAGTATGGATGAGCAAGATAATTCCCTGTTTAAAATAGGCTTACACATATTTAAAGCGACTTTCGTTGAAGCTAGCTAACGTGTCTTACATTAGTCAAATCCGCATTACGTCCAGTTATGATATTTATCGTTCACGTTCTCAGTTTTGTTACTTCACTATGCTTCATGAACAGAGGAATTTACACAGAAAGAATAAGATTTGGGTGCATTGCTGTAATGTCGATAGGTAAAGTTCATAGTGAGGATGGCAACTCATCGATAACTCCAGTAAAAATACGTTGGGTGCTCAGACCTAGCTGCCTCTACACATTTCTTGAGTAGTGTCATTGTAGTAAATTCTATCATCACATTGTAACACACATTTGGTGCTATAATTTCCATGGTGCTAACAAGATATGCACTGGCAGCAGTAGGTAATGTTTCAGTGCAGTAGACTATCAGTCGTACACCTTTTATATGTAATAGCTCTAATTTGCTGAGATGCAATGAGCAAGGAAACAACGTTTTGTATGGATATGGCCTTTTTGTTATTACAAGAATGACAACATAAGCCAATATTGAATTTCATATGAGCACAAAGCAAGGTACATTGAGGAACTGATCCACTGTGTATGCATGGGCCTAATTGCAATGTTGAGCTTAACAGCATGGTTTTTGCTATAGCAGGGAAGTGAAGAATTTTACTTACATATTTTAATTACAGTCTCGGATATATTCCAAATGACAATCAAGCACACGTATACTGCATGCTCATTGGTTCCTGCTGCTCACTTTTTTTGACAAAAACCTTGTGTACGGTGCTTGCTTTGCCCCAGCTTTCAGTTTCAATAAACTGTTTTCATATATGATAATGATCCAGTGTTTACCCGAGGTATTTTATTCTGCTTCAAGATCTCAGTATTTCCAAGCATAAATCGCTGGATGTCTATGGTGTTACAGTTACAGAAATTAACTTATCAGGGTGAAAAATATCACATACTCTAGGAATTCTGTTGTAAACTTTCCTCGTGGCGCCCCCTATCATCACTGCTCGAAATATAGCCGCTTGTATTATGTGAATGCAAATGTATATGTAAATGAGAATATGAAACTATGAAGTGTGAAATGTAATTGCTAAATCATTACACCAGACGAGAGCACTTTGTGATAAATCTTTTTCTTTCTGATCAAAATCTTAACTAAGATTTATATTTTGATCTTACTAAGTTTTGTGCATTTAGTTTGTATTAGATATTTCACTAGGTGGCAGTACTTGTCAGTAATATTAAACCTTAAAGGCATACTAGGCCCATTGATTTATGCAATGTTGACGAATGCTAGAGTAACTGCCACCTTGTGTAGTTAATAAGTACATAACCTTATAGCCAAACGCATATTAGTTTGTCCAATATCACTGCTGGTTACATTACACGCAAGACTTGAAATCGGTTGTTGATATTCATTTATATGCCGTAAATGTCATCCAGGAGTCAAGCGATGACGTAAACATTTGTGCGGCCCGTATATTTTGGACGCCAGATGAAATGAAGGTGTCAGCGGTGTAACCACGGCCACGGACTAAACATGGAAATGGAGTAAAACACACGTACTAATCACGAACGCACATGGACAGCCCTGACAAAAAGTTCCTTATCACGAGCATCCGTGTTTACGAAATCACTGATGAAAATCATTGCGTACGGCCGAGCATGCGTGCGAAAATGTCCGATGCACTATAAATCTGTATCACACCCGCTTCGCTGGCAGCGGTTTGAAACTGTAAACAACTGATTTCTTGGACTGCGGATTTCAATTAAACATTAATTGTCTTGTCTTAGTAGCCAGCAGTGATATTGGACAAACTAATACGCGTTTGTATGTAAGGTTATGTACTTATTAACTACACAAGGTGCCAGTTACTCTAGCAATCGTCAACATTGCATAATCAATGGGCCTAGTATGCCTTTAATTACTGCTAAGGTCTTTGCTCAGAGTTGTGTTTAAGCAATAGATTTGGTCAACTTACCTATGTTAGAGGTATAGTCAGTTGCACCAAATATCAGCTCAGGGGCACGGTAGTACCGTGAACAGATGTAAGACACATTTGGCTCACCTCTGACGAGTTGCTTCGCGCTGAAACATTACAAGTGTGGGGGTTAGATAAAAAAATGATAGTAGATAGATAAAAAATGTCTCACCATTATTGTAAACCAGAGATTTACAAGTGGGAAATGTCAATGAAAAAGTCACTTAAGGTTGACATTCACCACTGCAATAAATGAACAGTGGCCGTTTAAAACAATACAAGCTATTAAGTACAAATTAATATTAAAATATATTAAAGATTTAAATGCACAAAATATCACAATCAAATAAATTATTGTAAAATCTGCAGTTGCATATAAGTACAGATAAATTCTGCAACCTATTTCTTTCTATTCCAGTAAGGTGCATACATTTTTTATGTAAATGAACCAAACCCTGACATTTGAATTTATAATGTGGGAATATAAATTATTATAACTCTGACTTAAGCCTTGAAGCTCAAACTTAAAATAGACTTAACAGTGAAACCTGTGTGTATATCACTACTAAACCCAGGGCAGAATTTTTTGTCCATGACATGAACCATAAACAATTCAAATAAATTTAATCAAACCAAAATTTGCATGACACTATCATAGAATAATGCCTCTATAGCCCAACTTTAATGGTAAGCAGTTTGCTGCCTATTATGTGTTACCAACATTACGTTAGGCGCTATAATAAAGTAAAAGGCTTTGTAAGGCTATCTAACACATATAGAGATTGTAGAGCATAACTGATATCTTTTCTAACATTCAAGAACAATTTTCACTTTTATTCCATCTGTTCTATATAAGTAGACATTCGAGCCACACTAGCTAGGCTTAGTCCAAGTTGTAAGTGGTACCAGCAAAACAAATTATGAGACCACGGTCCGTAGACAATTCACAATGGTCAACTCGAGCTCCTGTAGATCGGTCAGTTTGACTCATGTGTCAAGATGACTCGCCTGGAGATCGGTCAGCTGGACACACCGGCTAACTTATGTGAGATGTTTCACATGCTCCGACGTCGGAACGGTTGGGTGTAAGTTAGTACATTTGCGATAGATGCACGAGTAATATAAAGTACGAGTAAATAACATTTATTTTAGAATTCTCGCCCGATCTCCACAGGGCTCATCTCTACACATGAGCCGTGCAGCACGTTACCTATTCATTCATGGTTAACACAGCCAAAATTCTGCGAGATTTTAATATAAATGATATTTAAATTTAAGATTTCAAACTCATGCATCTATCACAAAATGTACTAACTTACACCCAACCGTTCTGACGTCAGTACAAGTGAAACATCTCACATTCAGTTAGCCAGTGAGTCGAGCTGACTGATCTGCAGGCAAGTCATCTCAACACATGAGTAGAGCTGACCGATCCCCAGGCAGACCATCTCAACACACTGTGAGCCGAGTTGACTGATGAGTTGAGTTGATCGGTGCCCGTGAGACCACTGCTGCAAAGAGTAAAGTTTATGCCACCGACTGGTTCTTTACTGGTTACTAAGTCTGCATGAACCAGCACCTCATGGAGTTTTCTAAGTGCTTGATCAGTTTCCTGCTGCCATGAAGCTGTATGCCTTTCACTAACTGATAATTATTACTTTGCCAGCAATTTTAATTACATTATACTCACCATTCCAGTTAGGCTACAAATGTAATGCCTCTGTACATTGTCAACATCCATTACTTTCCGTAAACAAACTATTTGTAAACATGCAAAATAACTAAAAGCACCTGCGCTGAATATTTTTCTAAAAAAATCCAAGCGCCTAATCTCCCAATGCTCCTTCCTCATTAGAACTGCAACTTACCTGCCAAAATCACAAAGCTTGAGGACTCCTGTATCTGGATCTAACAACAAGTTCTGTGGCTTGATGTCTCTGTGACATATTCCCACTGAGTGAATGTATGCTAAACTTCGGAATAGCTGGTACAAATACAGCTGCAGCAGAAACAGTAGAATTACCAGATGAGTTGTCAATTTGGGCATGTAGTTATGTCGCTTTTTTGCTAATATTAACACATTTTAATTATTTAAATTAGACCATTCATATTTTTTCTGTAATTAAAGATACACTTAAACTTTTGAACGGGTAGTGCTCTAATTAGTAAACGATAATTGACAAATGAATCGAATCAATCACACGTTTTATTTATAGACGAGATATACTCAAGCCAAAAAATTATTGTAAAAATTTGTTTTAATGTAAAAATGCTATTTTGGATAATTCTCAATTACCAGAGTATAAAAGCAAAATTTTCGCGACAAGTTAAGGACTATGTGCAACAAAATCGCATCTCATGATTTGCATCGCATCTCAAAATGGAAAAACTGCCTAAGATTTAAGTCGTTAATTAATGTTTGGATTAAAAATTTATGGAAAATAACCATAACTCATAAAAGACCGCACTTAATATCAAACCCTGCCGTACTTTTTCATAGCAATGTGTTACCATCAAAACGAGTTGAAAATATAAATTATTCTGAGTTGTAACGACAGAGAAATATCCATTTATACATTAGCTAGTGTGGCCGAAATCATCAAACGATCACACGATGAGCCAATAAAAAATGTTTGCATTCAGGCTGTCTTCTCTACACCAGTTAATGGCAGCCAACTTATAAATCCTGACTCAGATCTTTATTTGAATAGATACTAAGATAGATTCCTTGCACAAATCCACAATTCAACATGTCATGCTCATTACTTCACTAACACTGGTACCGGTGCACACAAACAACCTCTTCCAACTATACACACATACACAAGACATGGTGAACAAACTGGTTCTGTGAGGAGTTATCTTGATCATTTTGTTCACTTTATTCTAATACTGCACTGCTCAACTAACTCCTCAGGTCCAATTCTAAACGCATAGGCAGATTAAAATCTTTCTGATTAACTAGCCTAAAATTTACCTTAATGTATATTAATGGGATTGTCTGTTTCTTTTTGCTGTAGTGCCTAGCCACTCTGTACACAGTTTCTGGGATGTACTCTAATATAAGATTCAAGTACACCTCATCTTTCTGAAAAGAATACAGATGGAAATATATATATATCAGGAGTAGATAATAGGGAGGAGTGTGACATCAATAAACAAGGGAAATTCGTCATTTACTAGCCTTATAATACCTACGATTTACTACACGTAACTCATCCAACTTGAGCTCAAATCGGACACAGTACATTCGCCCATCATCGTACGAAATCGTTTCCTCGTAGACACCCGCAATCCGGAGATACAGCCTAAAACGTACGACACAATTCTCCATTCTATGGCCATCAATCCAACGCCATTGCGCGCCTATAATTCAAACAAAAGGCAGCTACCTAACGCGCTATTGCTAACCCAGCGAGGCATGTGGCTCGCTGGGAGATTAGGCATCAACACTCGGCGAGATAACCTTTGACCCGGTACACAGCTACACAGGCCACCTTTGTACATAGCTGGCATGCCTTCACGCACGCACGCCAACCGCATGATTAGCTCGTCGAGTGTTGCGTCGATCTCCAATCTCCCCGCGAGCCACAACGCCACATTCAGCTATCCGAGAGAGCAAACACAGCGACTGCGCGCCAGTGTTGCTGCCTTTTGTCTGAATTATAGGCGCGCAATGGGCGTTGGATTAATGTCCAAAGAATGGAGAATCGTGTCGTACGTTTTAGGCTGTATCTCCGGATTGCGGGTGTCTACGAGAAAACGATTTCGTACGATGATGGGCGAATGTACTGTGTCCGATTTGAGCTCAAGTTGGATGAGTTACGCGTAGTAAATCGTAGGTATTATAAGGCTAGTAAATGACGAATTTCCCTTGTTTATTGATGTCACACTCCTCCCTATTATCTACTCCTGGTAAGTATAGAACAGCCACACTGCAAGATCTCACTACAGTAAGTATAGAACATAGCCACACTGCAAGATCTCACTACAGTAAGTATAGAA